CCTACCAACCAAACTAACTCTGTCACAGTTGAAGCTAAGCTTCTATACTCAGCTTCAGCTGAGCTTCTTGACACAATGGTTTGCTTCTTAGCTTTCCAAGAGATCAAAGACTCTCCAAGTTTAATCACATATCCAGTTACAGACTTCCTGGTAAGGGGGCATGCAGCCCAATCTGCATCACAGAAAGCTGTAATTTCACTACTACAATTATTGGATAGTAATATACCTTGACCTGGTTGCCTTTTGATGTATTTGACAACTCTAAGTGCTGCATCCATATGAGACTTTTTTTGGTTGATGTAGGAACTGACTTAATGTTTGTACACTAAAAGAAATGTCAGGCCTTGTCATGTTTAGATATAGCAACTTCCCAATCAACTTTTGATAAGTAACTTGATCTGTTAGAGGCTCCTCCTGATTTTGTCTAGTTTGTTCATCATATTGCCTTGACGTCAACTTCATATTTACATCCATAGGTGTTCCAGCAGTCTTTGCTCCTGACAAACCAATTTCTGAAATGAGTTGAAGTGCATATTTTCTTTGATGCATAACAATTCCACTGTTTGATCTTACAAATTCTATTCCAAGAAAGTATTTCAACTCTCCTAGATCCTTCATTTTAAAACTCAGTTGTAAGGACCTTTTTGTTTCCTCGACTAGCTTTAAACTGCTTCCTGTTACCAAAATATCATCAACATACACTAAGATTATTGTAGTTCCTTCAGTAGTCCTTCTTGTAAACAAAGAGTGATCATGCTGACTTTGATTGAAATCCAACTTCTGTAGAACTGCTGCAAATTTATGATTCCATTGTCTTGGTGCTTGTTTAAGCCCATACAATGATTTTTCCAGTCTACACACCTTATACTCATTCTCCCCCTGGCTGGAAAAACCTTGAGGCACAGACATGTATATTTCATCCTCTAAATCACCATTCAAAAAAGCATTATATACATCCATTTGATGTATATGCCAACACTTGGACACAGCTAAGGCTAAAATAGCTCTCACTGTGACCATTTTTACAACAGGGGAAAAAGTTTCTTTGTAATCTATACCTTCCTTTTGGTTATATCCTTTGGCCACCAGTCTTGCTTTAAACCTTTCTACTTCTCCATTAGACTTGTACTTAATCTTATAAATCCATCTGCATCCAATAACAGACTTCCCTTTTGGCAAATCTACCAGTGTCCAAGTTTTGTTATCTTGTAAAGCTTGTATTTCAGCTTGCATTGCTTCAATCCACTTAGGATCTTTGCTGGCTTCAGCAAAGGATGCAGGTTCAGTTAGAACAGAAGTTGCAGCAACAAACTCCTGGTAAGATTTAGACAAGTGATTGTATGCAACACTGTCAGCTATAGGATACTTCACCGGTTTGCCCATATTTAGTGACACAAAATCTTTCATCCAAACTGGTGGATGTACTCCTCGTGTAGACCTTCTATTCACCGCTGTTTGAGAGTCAGTAGAAACAGACTCATTATCTTGAACTGTTTCTTTCACTGTCTCTTGCTCAATGTTGTCATCCAAGTTTCTGTTCAACTCCTGACTACATTGCTCTTCTTGTAAGCACATATTCTCACTATTATGCTTGTTCATCATGTTGTCACACAACAACTTCCATTCTCCATTTATCATAGTACCATCCATATTACTCACAAATGTACCCTCTTCGCTTTTACCTAAGGCAGACATGAACGGGAACACTGTCTCTTTGAATACCACATCTCTACTCACAAAGAAATTTCTTGATGTCAAATCTAACAAAATATAGCCCTTCTGAGTTTCTGAATATCCCATATGTACTACAGCCTTTGTCCTTGATGCTAACTTATCACTCTCAGTTAGAACCTTAGCATAACATAAGCAACCTAATACTCTAAGATGAGACAACATTGGCTTGCTTCCATACATTTTCTCATATGGAGATTTACCTCCCAGAACTCTGCTAGGCATCCTATTTATCAGGTAGACAGCTGCAAGCACACACTGACCCCAATAATTTAAAGGAATATGCCCCTGAAACCTTAGAGCCCTAGTTAATTCCAAGAGGTGTCTATGCTTTCTTTCAGCCACCCCATTCTGCTGAGGTGTATAAGGACAGGATCTCTGATGTACTATCCCTCTTTCTTTAAACAAAGCAGCACAAACTGAATTCATGAATTCAGTTCCATTATCAGATCTAACCTTTCTTACCTCTTTGTCATACTGTGTTCTAACAAATTTCAGATAATAACCTAAAGCTACACATACATCTGACTTATTTTTTAACAAAAAAACCCACGTCATTCTTGAGAAATCATCAACTATTGTAAGGAAAAATCTATTACCATCAAATGTAGGCTGTTTGTATGGTCCCCATACATCCAAATGAATCAAATCAAAAACTTGACTACTTTTAATGCTACTAATAGGAAACACAGTTCTGGTCTGTTTTGCACTAGGACAAATAGTACATTCATTCAACACTTTGTTCATTATTTCTGAATTAACACGAAACACTTTACTTAACACATGTGATGCTCCATGTCCTAACCTCCTGTGCCATACATCCACTTCTTTTTCTGACAATTGTTGAACTTCTAACTTCTTTTCAGACGCAACAAGAGTGTGATCTTGTGTCAAGTTCCTCAACAGCAAGTACAACCCATCATCTTCTTTACCAACTTCCCTCACCTTGCCAGTGTAAAGATCCTGAAATACACAGAAATGAGGGAAGAAAGTGACTGAGCAATTTAACTCTTTAGTCAACTTGCTTACTGAAAGTAAATTGTACTTGAACTCTGGAATATGATAGACATTAGTAATCACACTCCTTGGAGATATGTGACACACTCCAGTATTCGACACATAAGACACTTCACCAGTAGGTAGATAAACTGATTTTGGATTCTTAACCTTAACAACGGAATGTTTTGTAAGCATATCCAAATTAGATACCATATGATTAGATGCCCCTGTATCTATAATCCAGACCTGATTATTTTCAGAAACTAACAAAGTTTTACCTGCAGCATTAGCCTGAAGATCTTGTACTGGATTTGTATCTTCTGATTTTTGTCCACATCCTTGATTCTGCTTTAACATGTGCAGAATTTGATCATACTGATCTTTGGTGAAACTACACCCCTGTAGTTGACTTGAACAATCACCTATGTTACTTATATGATTTTTCACAGGAACATTTGTGTTACTTCCATAGTTGAAGGTTGATCCATTTGAACCATCCTCATAGCAATTCTTTCTTGTACTGTTAACATCACTCCCAACCATGTAAGCTCCACTTCCTGTATTAGTACTCATTTTTCTTTTGGATTTGAAATCAGAAGGGTATCCAATCAATTTGTAACACTGATCCTTAGTATGCCCTTTGCATCTGCAAAACTCACATACAACAGGAAAGTTCTTCTTGAACTTGTTCAATCCTTGAGTACTGGAGATTCCACTTGTTCTTGAATACATCACCATAGGATCTACACCAGAATCAGTGACAGAACTTAACCCTACACTTGTCCTGCTAGAAGTTATCTTCTGACACTCATCATTTATAACCATTGCATAAGCTTGATTCACTGTAGGAACAGGACTCATTAACAAAATCTGACTTCTTGCCTGTCCAAAAGACTCATTCAATCCCATCAAGAACTGATACAATTTCTGTCGATTTAAATGATCAACAAAACTTCTTGCCTTTTCACAATCACATCCAGGAGGTGGTACTAACGCCTCAAATTCATCCCACAAGGTTTTAAGTTTAGTAAAATATACTGACACAGAATCAGTACCCTGTTGCAAGGTTGCAATTTCTTTATGCAGGCTAAAGGTTCTTGACCCATCTAACTGATCAAACCTTTCTTTTAGATCATTCCATACCCCTTGAGCTGATGAAGCAAAGGCCACTCCTCCTAAAAGACTTTTTGATACTGAATTCAGGAGCCACGAGAGGACTATAGCATTCACCCTCTCCCACTGGCCTCTTAATTCTGCACTTACACTTTCCTTTCTACAAGATCCATCTACCAAACCAATCTTGTTTCTCCCGAGTAATGCCAATTTAATCGACCTACTCCACAAAGCATAATTCTCAATTCCAATCAGTTGAAATGAGATCAGATTTACCCCACTGATATCAGCAGGACTCAAGAACAATGGATGATTGTAATCGACCCCTTGACTCATAGACATTGCCGGAACAGAGCTTGGATTTCCATCAGTACTGCTGTCTCCAGTTGTTTGTTCAGATACTCCTTGAGTCATGTTAACAATCTTTCTTCTTCTTTGAATTGAATTGCGGAAAAACAACAAACAATTTGAGTCAGATTTTGACCTTCAGATCTTCAGAAGTCTTTAAACAGATGACAAATTCTGATCTCCAGATCTTCAGAAGTAATACGCAGATGAATTTTTCAGATTCCAATCACCTGCTCTGATACCATGAAGAAATTAACTACTAAACAAGATTGATAGAATTGTAGAAGATGAAGATAGTATATATTTCTTGAAGTATCTATTTTACAATGAATAAGCATATGTATTTCTATATGCCTTTGTAACTAACTTACCTAATCTTCTAACTAACTCTAACTAACTTCTGGAAAATGTGCCCTTACTAACTTTTACATTTTGCTTTCTTTTTAACTTCCTCAATAAGTTCCTTCTAATTGCATACTTTTGAGTCATATCCACCTAACAGTTGAAAAGTGATTCAAAACAAAGTAGGAACACGTACATTAGGACATGGATAGTTTGGTTAAACTAGTCTTCTGCATTCTGTTAGGTAGTTTCCTAGTGTTGCTGAAATAGTGTTTTAGTGGGGTTATAGGACCTATATTTTAGGATTAGTTATTTATCACTTAGCCTATATATCATGTGGCTATTATTTTGTTATTTTGTAACTTCCAATTAATCATAAATTGAAAGAAGTCGCAGTTTTCCTTCTCTTTTTTATTGTTTCCAGATTTCTCTGTACTTCTTCTCCAACACTAACAAGTTGCATTAAAATGATGACAACTCTGTACTTTCTATGGCTTTTCTTGATTCCCTTGTTTCAAATCTTATCAGGATATCACATTTTCTTGGTTTCCTCTCAATGTCTTCACGATCAAAAGTCGTTGTTGCTGCAGTTGAAGGGCAGCCTTCAGTATGATTCTACTTTGTCAAATAAATTAGCAAAATGGAATCAGAAGACAAGTGAATGTTGCAATTGGGATGGGGTTACATGCGATCTCTCTGGTCATGAGATTGCCTTGGAACTGGATAATCAGACTATTTCTGGTGGAATTGAGAATTCAAGTTCTCTTTTCAGTCTCCAGTATCTTGAGAAGCTAAATTTGGCTTACAACAGGTTCAGTGTTGGCATACCAGTTGGTATAGGCAACCTCACGAACTTGAAGTACCTGAATTTATCCAATGCTGGTTTTGTCGGGCAAATTCCTATGTCGTTATCAAGATTAAAAAGGCTAGTTACTCTTGATCTCTCAACTCTTTTCCCTGACTTTGATCATCCACTTAAACTTGAGAATCCCAATTTGAGACATTTCATTGAGAACTCAACAGAGCTTAGAGAGCTTTACCTTGATGGGGTTGATCTTTCATCTCAGAGGACTGAGTGGTGTCAATCTTTATCTTCATATTTGCCTAACTTGACCGTCTTGAGCTTGCGTGATTGTCAAATTTCAGGCCCTATTGATGAATCACTTTCTAAGCTTCTCTTTCTCTCTGTCATCCGTCTTGATCAGAACGATCTCTCTACCACAGTTCCTGAATATTTTGCCAATTTCTCGAACATGACTACCTTGACCCTCTCCTCTTGTCATCTGCAAGGAAAATTTCCTGAAAGAATCTTTCAGGTACCAGTCTTAGAGAGTTTGGACTTGTCAAATAACAAGTTGCTTCGTGGTAGTATTCCGATTTTTCTTCGAAATGGATCTTTGAGTACGATATCAGTAAGCTACACAAACTTTTCGGGTTCGGTACCAGAGTCCATTTCGAACCTTCAGAACCTGTCCAGGTTAGAGCTCTCCAATTGCGGTTTCAGTGGACCAATACCTTCCACAATGCCAAACCTAACGAATCTTGTTTATTTGGACTTCTCCTTTAACAACTTCACTGGGTTTATCCCATATTTCCGACAGTCCAAGAAACTCACCTACTTAGACCTTTCACATAATGATCTAACTGGTCTCTTGTCTAGAGCTCATTTTGAAGGACTCTCAGAGCTTGTCTACATAAATTTAGGGAAAAATTTACTCAACGGGAACCTTCCTGAATATATATTTGAGCTCCCCTCCTTGCAGCAGCTTTTTCTTAACAGCAATCAATTTGTTGGCCAGGTTGACGAATTCCGCAATGCATCCTCCTCTCTGTTGGATACAATTGATTTGGAAAACAACCACCTGAATGGATCAATTCCCAAGTCCATGTTTGAAATTGGGATGCTTAAGGTCCTCTCACTTTCTTCCAACTTCTTTAGTGGGACAGTGACCCTTGATCTCATTGGGAGGCTGAGCAAACTTTCAAGACTGGAGCTTTCTTACAATAACTTGACTGTTGATGCAAGTAGAAACAATTCAACCTCTTTCACATTTCCCCAGTTGAGTACATTGAAACTAGCTTCTTCTCGACTGCAAAAGTTCCCTGATCTCAAGAATAAGTCAAGGGTGATCCACTTAGACCTTTCAGACAACCAAATACGGGGGGCAATACCAAATTGGATTTGGGGAATTGGTGGTGGAGATGACGTTCACTTGAATCTTTCCTTCAATCAGCTGGAGTACATGGAACAGCCTTACAATGTTTCCAGCAATTTTGTAGTCCTTGACTTGCATTCCAACCTTATAAAAGGTGACCTACTAATTCCACCTTACCCTGCCATCATTTTGGACTACTCGAGCAATAATTTCAGCAATTCCATTCCAACAGATATTGGAAATTCTCTTGCTTTTGCCTCCTTTTTCTCAGTAGCAAACAATAGAATCACTGGAATAATTCCTGAATCCATATGCAATGTCAGCTACCTTCAAGTTCTTGATTTCTCGAACAATACCTTGAGTGGAACAATACCACCATGCCTACTGAATAATAGTACAACTCTTGGAGTGCTGAATCTAGGGAACAACAGTCTGAATGGTGTTATACCAGATTCATTTCCAATTGGTTGTGCTCTAACAACTTTAGACCTCAGTAGGAATACCTTTGAAGGGAAGTTACCAAAATCACTTGTGAACTGCAAGTTGTTGGAGGTCCTGAATGTTGGAAATAACAAACTTGTTGATTGTTTTCCATGCATGTTGAGGAACTCAAACAGTCTGAGAGTCCTAGTTTTGCGCTCCAATCAATTCAATGGACGTGTTCATTGTGATGCAACCAGAAATAGCTGGCGAACTCTCCAGATCATAGATATAGCTTCCAACAACTTCACTGGTGTGTTGAATGCAGAATTCTTTTCAAATTGGAGAGGAATGATGGTTGCTGATGATTACGTGGAGACAGGACGCAATCATATTCAGTATAAGTTCCTCCAACTAAGTAACTTATACTATCAGGACACAGTAACAATAACCAACAAAAGGGTGGAGATGAAGCTTGTGAAAATTCTCAGAGTCTACACATCTATTGATTTCTCTTCAAATAGATTTCAAGGAGTGATACCAGATACTATCGGGAATCTCAGCTCACTTTATGTTCTGAACCTGTCATACAATGCCCTCAAGGGACCAATTCCAAAATCAATTGGGAAGCTACAAAAGCTTGAATCACTAGACCTGTCAACAAACCACCTGTCCGGGGAGATCCCCTCAGAGCTTGCAAGTCTCACATTCTTAGCAGCTTTGAACTTATCGTTCAACAAATTGTTTGGCAAAATCCCATCGACTAATCAATTTCAAACATTCTCAGCAGATTCCTTTGAAGGAAACAGAGGCCTATGCGGGTTCCCTCTCAACAACAATTGTGAAAGCAATGGCTCAGAGTCCCTCTCCCTTCTGCCACCAACTTCGGTACCAGAATCAGACTCAGATTATGAATGGAAGTTCATTTTTGCAGCTGTTGGATACGTAGTAGGGGCAGCAAACACCATTTCACTTCTGTGGTTTTACGAGCCAGTGAAGAAATGGTTTGATAAGCATACGGAGAAATGCTTGCTTTGGTTTTCAAGAAAGTGAACCTTAAACCATTAAGTGATCGTTTGTATTGATTAGTATGAGATACACGTGGGTTATGTGTCCAGACACTAATTTCTTAAATACATGAAAACTACTACTGTTGTATTGAAAGACTTGTCCTTTTTTGTTGGGTCTTCAGTTTCTTCAAATGTTTATAGTATACAGTTTGCAACCTTGTATGTGCTAATGAATGTTTGCTCATATGACCTTTTTATTTATGCTTTTTTAGCTTATTTTTTCTGGAAAAATTATCTAAATACCCATTCTCTAAAAGTACCTATCATTTGAAAAAATAACAAAAATTCCTACTCTGTCATATTCTAGGATACATAACTTTACGCGATGTATCGAGACGTTAAGTGATGTATCGGAACATTGAGGGATGTATTCAGATTCCACCAAATTTAAAGAATTTTTGTAATTTGAAAAATAATAACAATAAAATGTAATTAACTCTTAATACTATGAGATTTGTGTAACATTTTCTTTTCCTATTGCAGATGTTATCAAACAATTTTTCCTGCAGCTATGACACTTGCAGCTTGCCGCTTTTGACTAATTACATGTTGCAAGTTCGTGGCAGTTTCTACAAGTGAAAATGCATTTCATAGTTTGAATACACTTCTTCTGATCAAATTGTTAAATTAAGATCTGAGCTTTAGGGAAAAGGAATAAATAATCGATCTCTCGTGAATTTTTTTAAATATAAATTACAAGACAAATAATATTTGGTAGCTCTATAATTCTGCCATTCTATATGACTTGTTAATCATGCAATTCAAAAATATTTTAGAACATTATATATATATATATATAGTTTCTGGACACGTGTGTTCCATGTGAATTTTTATAAATTCGCTAGAACAATTAAAATTTTATGTAAATCGTGTGAAGTGACTGTAGAGCTGTCAATATGGGTTGACCCATCCCATCCGGACTAACCCATACAGGCTTTGAAATTTGACGGGCTAGCCCATTTTTTGTGTGGGCTAGAAAATGGTTGGTCCAATCCGCAAGTATGTGGGCTAGGGGCTTTGCCAGGTCAGCCCTCTTTTCTTAATAGTATATTTTCTTGTAATTTTTTTAATTAAATTATAATTAAAAAATATTATCATAAATATAAACAAGACAATATTACATGGTGTTAGTGTTACTATTTGTTAATCAAATATACAAATAAAATTATCTTTATAATAGTTATTAAGTTTGATTTCAAGTAAAAGCATAAATAGCTAAATATAAATATTAACGTAATTGTTTTCCAATGATCGTAATAAAACACAAAAACTATGACAATATTCAATAGGCTATGGCCTATGTAGTGATTCCCTAGAAATTTTGAGAAAATTTTATTTTATGTAGTACATATTTTATAAACACAATTTGTATTTAAATTGTAATATTTCAAACTTTAAACAGATTTTGAGTTTAGACTCTTATTATTTTTAATACTCTATTTTATTTTTATATTTTAATTAGGAGCAACTTTCACATATAGCAAACATAAAAATCATACTTGTATATTATAGCTATAGTTTGTATAATTGCGCTCCATAGCAAACTTTATGTTTGCTATGGAGCATCAGAATGTATAACTTGCTGGCAGGAGCTTCAGATTTGTATAATTTCGCTGGCAGACCATTTGTATAAATCGTTGGCAGCCTCTTGTTTGTATAAATTGTTGGCAGCCTCTCAATTCAATTTTATGTGTTTGTATATCTGCATAAAATTTGAATCTGTATACAATTGAATCGAGTTAATAGACAATTGAATTGAGTTAAAACATTTGTATTTGTATATCAAATCTCTCTCTCGCTTATACAAACAAAATTTGTACATTGTATTTATATAATTTGTGTTTGTATAAAGCGAGAGAGAGAACAATATTTGATAGACAAACATTTTATTTCGATTCAATTGTATACAAATTCAAATTTTATGCAGATATACAAACACATAAAATTGAATTGAGAGGCTGCCAACAATTTATACAAACAAGAGGCTGCCAACGATTTATACAAATGGTCTGCCAGCGAAATTATACAAATCTGAAGCTCCTGTGTTCTAGTGCGTTGTAGATTCTTATCCAAGACTTGAGAAGATCTGTATTTGTATAATTATAAGTGTATAGGACGAAAATATATGTATTCGTATTTGTATATCTAGTTTTCTCTCACTTTATATAAACACAAACACATTTTATACATTTGTGTTTGTATAAAAGCGAGAGAGGCGAGGGAGAGACTAGCGAGAGTAGTGAGCGAGAAACCTAGGGAGAGAGGCGAATGACAACTGTTTGCTACGGGTTACAATTAAATCAAACTGTGGTTATAGCATTTAATTGAATTAATACTTTGCTATTTTATACAATTTTCCCTTTAATTAATTTTTATTTGGCCCACACTGGCCCTATCCATATTTCTCAAGCCCCACAAATCGACATACTTACTTATGCCGGGCCAAAAAGTCTTTTTCTTAAATGGGCTTCAAAAATCGTAGTCCACCCCTATTAAATCACGGGTTAGGCCAAGCCGGCCCAACGGGCCTAGCCCATATTGATGGCTCTAGAAGTGAGTAATATTTTTTAATGTGCGTCAAGAAACACCAAATGAGGGGCACATTGTAATGTTTAAAATCAATTCCGTTGAAGCTATTATCGGTAATTTTTTAACTTTGTTTAGTAGTTAACACACTTCCAATAAAGTCACATGACTAATTTGAGCCAAATAACAATACATACTTACGATAATGATAAAAAAATTCATAAAAATTAAATTGGTGAAGTCTAATAGAGGAAAAACACACAAAAAATAGAAGAGAAATAAAGCATACACATCATTCACAAGACTTTATTCATATAGATTATAGATAGAAAATAAATATAGAATCAATAAGTTATCCATATTCGGAATTCAGAAGCTACAAGTTTAAAGAGGAAAACAAAAGGCACAGACCATGAGAAGGAAGTAATTGCACTAACAAATCATATAATTTGCAAATTATGTATAACGAAGTATGCATCATATTTTTTCTCCAGAATAAGATAATACTTATTTCTGACAAAAGTAGAGACAAAATTTATTTTCAGCTTTTATTATAAAATTTGTGTAACAAAATAATAAATCAAAAATCTATTTTAAAAGTTATGTCACTTGAGAAAATATTTTTTTTATAATACAGAGACACCATTTAAAATTTGAACTTGTATTGTGTTTACTGTAATGTGTTTACGTTATTTATTTGCTGAATAGAAATAAACTCGAAAAAGCGGACAAACACAGTTACCATCTAGCAATAAATACGTGAAGAAAATCAATATCATATAGCCCCATAATGGTATATAAAAATATGCCGTTTGAATTGCATGCTCTAGATTACTATAAATGCATGTAAATACCTCTAACTCTAAATACTGAATTAACTAAGAGAATTGAAATTTAACAAACAAAAGAAATTGTAAAAATTATCAATAACTTATCAAACAGGATGAATAAACATATTTCTCAACAAAACTTGCTAACAAAGCAAAATAGATGTACATTTATCAACTCAGCCCAAACTTTTAAATTTGTTGTCTGATTTTATAGCTATTTCTTTTATGATAATAACATATCTCATGAAATCCATCTAGGGAGTGTAGAGTGTGCACATACCTTACCTCAATTCAGAAGACCCTCAACTTGAGTCGAGTATAGCAAATCAAAGTAAATATGGAAAAGAAAAAAGACAGTGAAGAGAATATAATATAATATAATATAACAACTATTACGAAAATAATAACAACAAAAAAAAAGTGTAATAACCGAAACACCATAAAAAACAATTGGTGGTAGAAAGTAAAAGAAAGATAGTACAAGAATAAAAGTAGTACTACGACAGACATCACTAAGTCTAAACCCTAAGGAAAGCAAGAGAACACTCCACTACAACCTTCTACCTTAATCTGCGATCTTTATGCTTAAGCATTTTTTGTAATTGATGAAATCAATTTCTTTTTTCTTCTGAGCTATGAAAGGCGAATTAGCTTATGTATTTGCCAATAATAATTTTACCTCATGCACATGATATTTATAAGCCAAAAAGTTTGCCTAGAATTCTGTAGAAAGCTCAAAAAGTTATGTTGGAGAATGGAGAGACATTCTTAAAAATGCGTTTTAAAACACTTTTCATTTTTAGTATTTAATATAATATGATATAATTATTATTTAATGTTTAATTTTTTAGATATTTTATAACATTTTGAATTAAGATAAGGATAAAATAGTATTTCAACTTTTACTTTTATGATTTCCCACTAATGTTTAATTGCTTAGATATTTTATAACATTTTGAATTAAGATAAGGATAAAATAGTATTTCAACTTTTACTTTTATGATTTCCCACTTTTAGTATAATATATTTCTATCTCTACTAGCTTTAGTCGTAAAGCTATTTGTTTATGACTTTCTACTAAATTATTTAATAAATCTATAGCTTCTTTTAAGCTCATTTTATTCTGAGAAATAATAATCCGATGTATCAAGATATACTATTTCTTCGCAATCATATAGTGAGAATTCAAATTCTTCTCTATATTTTCATCAATGGTGAATTGTAGGATTATTTCCTTTAAATCTCTATTTAAATTAATTATCTTTAGTACAGTTACTAAGGTTTTTTCGTCTAGATACCATATTGGTTTTATCATATTTTAAATTTATTTTCATGGCTTTGATACCATTAGGTTTCGGCTATCATACTGTTGTAGACAGGGTGTGCGGAATTTAGAATGCATGATTATGCAGTGTATAAGACATTTCTATCTAAAATTAATTTTGCAGATTTTTCATATTCTTGTGGAATTTATGCTTGCTGAATTTCTACTTCAACGATCCTTGTTATTTCAGCACATTCTTGATCTATTTCAATCATCCCTTTATTTTTGTATATGCCTCTATAATTGGAGTTTGTAACTGTATATAGAGCCTGATAATAAATGATCATGATATGATTACCTGGTTTAAATATGTCTTTTCTTTTGACCTGGAAGTGTAAGCTTAAAGCGTCATTAAAATCTGCATCTTTAAGTGAAATACAGTATTTTGGGTAATATGT